TCCGGTTTCGGCCTCTCATTCGTGGTATCGGTGATGATATCGACCGCACCGGTAGTGCTCGTCTGCGACTCAATCGTCTCAAACTGGTCGCCAATCGACGGCAATATGAACTCCAACTTCACGTCTTGCGTGGGATCCGCTCTGTAGAAGCTATCGTCGATGCCTTCGATGGTAATCAAGAAGTTGTTGTGATTATCACTCAAAGAGCTCCCATTCTCTTCGCTCATGTCGATGGAGTCGACAATGGACTCGAAATGAGTGATATTCTCGCTGAGCAGCGACTTCTTGAGCACCACTTTATTGGCCACTCGTTTGCCGCAATTATCATCAATGAGATTGTGGTCACTATATCGGCCGCACTGTGTGTCCAACGGAGACATACTGTGGCCGTCGATCACCACACGGCTGTCCTCATCATCATTATCTACCACCACGTGATGGGCGACGACCCGGTGCTCCTCCATCGCCGTCTCCCTGTCCTTCAACTCCTCGTACTTCACACGCAATGCGTTATATTTGTTGATCTGATTCTTCGGGCGACACTTGCAGTTGTCGGTCATCGAGATCAGCACATCCATCATCTGTTCGCCGATGAGACACATGTTTCGCAGCCTATGGTTGTCTTCGCGGAGGCCGACGATCGCGGCGTTCACTCCATCCATGTCCTCATCCATGTCTTCGGCGGCCATCGGCTGTATGAGTGGACCTATTGGTGTATCTATCGGTGGATCCGATCGATGGCTTTGTTTCGCTGTTTTTCGCCACAAATGTCACGAAATGTGAGGAAAATATTGTCTCAAAAATATAAACACAAATCCATTCATAGCTTACGTCCGCATATTTTGGGAGCAAAAAGTTTGCGAAAAAGTTTTTTTGTGCCGTTTTTGTCGCCACAGGTTTCACTATCGCATGAATCGTACGCGCAATGAGTTTAATTGCCATTCATTTTACAGTCAATTTAATTAATTACACATTTATTCATGATTGGTATTTACATATAAAATATAATCAATTCATTCATACAGTGTATAAAACATACGACTATTCGCAACAACAATCAATGATAACAAGCCATTCATCGCCGGTAAGCGGGTATAAACTCTCGGATCATAGCGTTAGCCTCGCTCACGAAGACACCGGCTTTGGTCAGCCGCTCGTGTATACGCTGCACATCCATCAGCACCTTATCCCTCATCGGACTCAACCCGTAATGCGATTTCAACAGCAAATTACACGACTCGAAGGAAAACTTGGCCAAAATCTGTCGGTCGGAGTTCCTCAGGAACTGCTTGTCTTTGTCGGGAGTGCGGGCCAACTGTATGGCAATCGTGCACAACATCTGGTAGTCCTGTGTGAACGTACAGACTCTGATCAACAGCCACGTCGAGCGGAACATATGGGCGCTGAAGCTGCCGGGCCTGTCGATGTCGTCGATAGGTATGCGCCAAATGCCGTTAAATAAGTTATTATTCTTGCGTTCGGCGAACAGCCCGGGAATCAGTTTCACCGATTCGGTCAAGTCTTGGCCGTCACCACCGGCGCCGTGGTCTTGCGGTCGCAGCACTACCTGACCCACGAGTAGCTGTTTAGCCATAATGTAGTTGTTTTTGAGGAAATAGTAGTTCGCCAACCGGTAGATCGACTTGTAGTGAGCGGGGTATCGGTTAACGCACCGGTGCATCGCTCGCAAGCACATCATCACCAGCTGCTCGCGAAGGCTTCCAATTTCCACCCGTTCCTCCCGGAGCGCCACCGTATCCACCAAATCGTTCATCAACTCAGACACGGAATCCGTGGACAGCGAGCGCTGATAGCCGGACACACCGGCGGCTGCGGTCGCGTAGTCGTGATCGACCGGCGCGACAGACGTGGCCGACGAGGGGGCCGTCTGTTTGCTGAACGGCGAGCGCAGCGCTCGAATCAAATGCATTCGCAATCGCTTCAGAAGTCTTGAGGAGACCTTCTTATGGAGCGTCAGGTACTTGAGAATCGCGACGTGTATTCTGTAGTGTATTTCCAGCGCCTCCACCGCCAGATACGGCGGGTTATAGTACTGGATCTTCTTGGGATAGGACGTGCCGTCGACGAACAGACACATCTCCGCCCACTCGTAGTACCTGATGGCCATCAACAGAGCTCCCGTGCCCAGAGTTTTGCTGCTCTTCTCACACACTTTGCCTAACATATAGTACGGAAGCCATAGCTCCTCATCGCCGGAGTCCGTTTTCAGAGCCTTTTCGAAGCAATCTTTGGCCATTTGTATTGAGTCATCGATCGCACCGGTAGTCAACTCCGACTGCGACGTCGCAAACAGCGACGTCTTCCGCAGCCGTACTGTAGTGCTCGTAATGTTGTACACGAAGTGTCCGAACTCTATCCACAACTTCGTGGCCGTCGGCTCCAACTGCAGCGCCCGTTGGAAACACCGCTGACTCGCAAACGTTAAGTCGAAAAACGATTGCTCGAAGTTCTCGCCCTTTGGATGGCAAAGGATTGTCATTAAAAAATGCAATCAAATTGGTGTCATAAATGTCTTACGGATAGCAACTGCTGGTCGACTTCGAAGTTTCGCGTCAACGCCGACGCCGCCCACGAGTCAAACCGATTGGGGTTTAGCGTCAAATCCAAGACATAGAAATGACGCGCTTTGCTGTCAATCAAAGGCACCAATTATTAGACTAATTATCACTCAATCGCTTCCGACAGACACTCACTTAAACTCCTTGTTCTTGAAGTAATAGTCGGCCAACAAGTAGTAAATCGTTTCAGTTATATGTGTGGTCTCTGTGGTCACGTCTCCGCCAATGGCGTCCCCGCTGTCGATGTACTTCATAATAGGATCCGTCTTATCATTTGGCTGCAAGTGTTTCGGCACTAACTCTAAGACCCGGAGTAACAGCCCTTCAATGTCTTGAGTAATACCCGTCTGTCGGACGAGACTGTCGTACTCCGGGAGCTCTTCGGGCGCGAAGTAGTCGTACAGTTGTTCACAATAATCCCATTTCAGTGAAATGTGCGGCGATTTATGAATGTTTGAATTGGAGACCGACGGCCCACTGGCCACCCGTCGCACCGGGAAGTTATACAAACACGTGAAGCACCGGAAGATCTCGTCCTCCACGTCCACATCAATGAAGTGATTCAACGCCAACAACAGGAACTGGCCGTTGTGTGACGTACAGGTGCCCCGCCTTCCCAGGTATTGGTGGCCTAACTTCAAGTACGTTATGAGTTGACTCTTAGCATTCGTGGCCACATAGCCCTCGGCTATGAGTCCCCAATAGAGACAAATCCACGGCAACACCGAATATCCCTCAGCCGCCAGTTTCACGAGTTTGACGGCCAACGGGTGCTTAAGTCGCGCCCTTTTGCCCGTTTCCAGACATTTCTGGATTGTTATCAAACACTCTTTGTTTAAGTCGTTTCTGGTGCTCAAGATGTCGACGCCCTTCTGCCACAACTCGGAGCTCACGATCGCCTCATTCAACAGCTCTATCTCATCGGCGGTCAACTCCGACTCCGGTTTACTCATCAGTATTTTGATCAGTTGGTCGAAGTTGTGTTCGGCCATCATTTGGGACATACTCTCCCGCGACTGCGACTCCAGTATCGACTTAATGGCACAGTATTTGATCGTCACTTTGTTGGCGGACATCACTTCGATCTCATTCTCGCACAGGATATCAATGGCGTGGTTCAAGAAGTCGTTGTCATTCTCTTTGGTGCCCCTAAGCATCGATAGTCTCACCGAATACTCGTTGAACAGGTCTTTGGTGAGCATCAGTTCCAACGGCACCAGCATTTGCGTCAAAAACAGCGCTTCGTTTCGATTGAACTTCAGCTCATTGGCCGTCAAAGTCATCCAAATCTGTTCCAACTCTATGTCGCGGCCGATGACAGTCAACGGACCGCACGGCAGCTCTTCAGCGGACCTGTAAATGGCGTACAACTCGTGGAATATGGACGGAATGATGAGATTCTTCGCGGATCCCAATTCACACAAATAGGCTTCGATTAGATCCATGATTTTGATGACATTCCGGCGATTCTTCACCGCTTTGATGCGCTCCAAGAACTGGTTCACGTAATCTAATTCACACTTTTCGCACAAATTGATGCATTTGTAGGCAATCTTCTGCTCCGCCATCTCCTCGGGAGTGATCGGCCGCTCCTCCGGTATCGACATCTTCAGCGAATCGGGAAGTAATTCGAGAATACTTTCCGATACATTGCGCTCATCTATGTCTCGGCTCTTATTCAGTATATTCTTCACGCGACTCGACCGCCGCTTATCGACAAACTCTGTGGGAAACGAATTGGAAGTACTGTTCCTCAGACTGTTAGACCTCCGGAACGACTTCTTATGGTTATTATTGTTAGTATTGGATTCGGTGGCCGACTCTGTCGTCTCAGCGGTGGTGCTATTGTTCTCCTTTTCCTTGTCTTTGGAATCTTTCGAGTCTTTCGACTCCTTGTCCTTCGGCTGCTGTGGTTGTGGTTCGCCATTGGGTGCGACGGTCGACGTGCTCTCATCGGCGCTGGTGTTGGCGCTTCCGCTCTCATTACCGCCGCTGTCGGTCTGCGACGAAGCCGTGCCGTCAAAGCTCATCTCAATGGGTGTCGATGGGAACAAATGGTTTCGTTGGATCCGATCGTAGATACTCTTCAACTTAGCGCCGATTGAGGCGAACGAGAGGTTACTTAAGTTCTTATCCAAAATGAGCGACAGTTTCGGTCTCTTCGACTCCTGTCGCTGTCTCTCGTCGTCGAAGTGTTGCTTCCGTTTGGCCTTCAGTTGTCTCAACTCATTCACCACTCGTTCGTATTCTTCCGGTTCGTAATCGCCGACAAACCGGCGATACTTATCGTCCATCTCTTTGGCGAGACTCGGCTGCAGACGCAGACACTCGTTGAACAGCACCACAGCCTTCGCGTACGTCTCGTCCCTATCGATGGCCGTACAGCACATGCGGAAACAGTGGTAGATATCATGCAATATGAACGTCGTGTCGATGAGCCGGTCGATGGCTATCCAGTTGAATGGCGACAGACTGTGGGCCGACTCGAAGCACTCTCTGGCCAACTGGTGGTCGAGTCCGAGGGCAGCCCTGCGGCCGGTCTTCAGCCACAGCGACACATCCGTGGCGTCCAACTCAAGCGCTTCCAAGTAGTAGTTGAGGTCATTGGTGATGAGACCCAAGTTCTTGAGCGTCGAGAACCGCAACCGATGGTAGAAGGCCTCCGACCCGGACTTCTGGCGCTGTGTCTTCGCGTTGAGGCCGTCGTTCAGCTTCAGAAGCATCTGTTTGGCGACGTCTTCCTCGCCGGCGCTCAACGTCCGGATCGCCTCCTCATAGATGGCTAACAAGGCTTCCTCTTGAGCCTCGCGGGTCACGACAGCCGGTTGTGTCAGCTCCTCATCCGAGGTCTCGGACGTCTCGTTCAGGGCCTTGATTTTGATCATCGTTTCGGTGGTTATCACCCGAACTGATCACCGCTTAAGACATGTCTTGAAAGATGTCTTTTTGTTTACAAAACACACAAACTTTTGTCAAACATTAGAGTCATTCACTGAAAACGTATTGAAATTCAATTGTTTTGATTGTGGACTTTAATTACTGGTTACTGCCCCCTCCCTACCCCCTCACCTTGGTCATACATTATTACAAGTTTTATTTAAATTTTGAAAATAAACATGGTAATTATAGTTATTATTTATTTAAATCTTGATTATTTTTAATTACAAATATTATGTTATTTACAAAAATTATTGCCTTTTCGCCCCCATATATAGTAACGTTGTTTGTGAGCCTATGTATCGTGAATGTGCCACTAGACGTCACCACCAGTTGATCTCATGTCTGCATTCACAGCACTCAATGTCTTGTGGTTTCACATCCTTTTCCGCTGAAGTGTTTTCACGTGAATAATGGTATGTAAACTAACCACTCGTTTATCGCGTTAATTATCATTAAAACTCAATCCAATTGGCGATCGCTTAAGACATAACTCCAGACCAATGAGTGGCGGACATGATATCACCGGTGTCTCCATCCGGACACCGATTGTTCGCTACTTAAAAGTCTTTGATTATGTCAGCGATTCCTCTCATTAGCCATACTATCAGCGATACTAACCGTTTGTTTTGATTGTCACCTCTAATTGGTTTCACTATTCCTCTGATTCCCTAAAGGCTGGCACTAAAGACAAGCCGAAGACTACCGCTAAGACGGCGCCGAAGGCAGCGACCGGTGCCACTAAGAAGAAGACCGCGCGAGTGGTGCCCAAGAATGTGAAGAAACTGATGACCCATCGGTCCACTCGACCCCTTTGGGCCAAAATCAGGCGCTCGGCTAAGCTCTTCTTTCACGGCCGCCTTGTCGACGACTTCTTCTTCGGCTTCAAACACCACTTCTTCTAGCCGCCGCTCTTCTTACCCAGCTTCGCATTCCAAAACCATTTCTTTCCGTTTGCAATAATAGGCTGAGAAGACAAGCCCAAGAAGAAGAGGACGGGACAGAAGACCTTCAGATCACACAAGACCTGTGACTTCCTTCCAAACACCGGTAGCCACACTAACACCTAGGCAACGACTCTACACAGACATCAAATCCAGAATTCCAACTCAGGCACACAGGGGTGACAATACTATTACTTCACAACTTACAGGAGTGTTTTAGTATAGTTTAACTCATAAGACACGTGCGAATCCCTGTCCCACTACTCGACCACTAATGCCAATCCCTATGCCCACAGGTCTGACACCGGGAACAGTCCTAATCATTCTGGCTGGTCGTCACCGAGGAAAGCGAGTGGTGTTCCTGAGACAACTGGCCTCCGGTCTCCTGCTGGTGACGGGACCCTTCAAAATCAACGCCTGTCCCCTCCGTCGTATGCACCAGCAGTTCGTGATCGTGACGTCCACTAAGCTGGACATCTCGGGCGTCAAAATACCCGATCATATCGACGACAAGTACTTCAACGTGAAGAAAGACCGGTCGCCGAAAGGCAAGAGAGGCGACGGCGGAGACATCTTCGACACGAAGGCCGAGGCCTGGAAGCCACTGCTCGCGGCCTTCCGGCTGGTCTAGCGGTAGCTATTCCGCGAGCACCCAGACTAGGCGTTCTTGTTCCTCTTCTTCGACAACAACCGCATAAACCCGAGTATAAAGGTCAATGCCTTGGCTCACATTCCTCATAAACTCAACTTCTGATCCAATTGTCACCAAATTTAACGATAATTTTTCGAAATAATTAAAGATTTAATTTGTTTGTCACGGAAACCAATGAATTGATTATTTTTGTTTTGTGGAAAAAAGTATTTATTTATTAATTCAAACAAAAAAGTCATTTATAATTTACGACAATAATAATGGTCTGAATAGAAACGGGTGGACAGGTAGGCGATCGGATACAAGAATACAATTGGCTATTAATCTCCGGTGTGTCTATTGGTTGCGGTCGTCGCGGTTGTGGTTATAGTTATCGCGGTTGTGGTTATAGTTGTGGTGGCGGTGGTGTTGCCTATTGTCACCCCTGTCCTGGCGGTTGGAACCGCGCCGGTACTGATGCCTATCCTGATAGCCGCTCCTGTCGTTGCGATTATAGTTCCTATACTCCCTGTCCTGGCCGTAACCCCTGCGTTCGGTGCTCAGCTGGAACTGGCCGACCGGCAACTGCTTCATCTCCCAGAGCCGCTCGTTCTGCTCGACCAGCGTATTGATCTTCTCGGCGCACTGTAGGGCCAGCCCTTGGATGCGCGAGGGCTCCGTGCGGTGCATGATCGCCGTCTGCGTGGGCTCGTCGAGCGACGCCATCAGCTCCTCGTTGATGATCATCTTCGAGATGATGGAGTGGACGACCGCCGTCTCCAAGTCGAACATCTCGGCCAACCGTTCGATGGAAATGGAGTCATAGACATAGCTGTAGGTGAAGAGGTAGGCGCGCAGCGACTCCTCCCGTATCTTCTGGGCCAACATCTCCCGGACGCGATCCGATTGGTAGAAGAGGTTCCAGACTTTGGAGTTCATCTTGTCGTTGATGATGTACTCCTGGCACTGACGCCAGTTCCCCACTCGCATCACCTTAGAGGCGGCGACCACGTGCTCGCGCATCGACTCCGGGACGCCCACCAGCGGCTGCTCCTCGTTCTTACGCAACTGGTTATAGAAGGAACGGCTGATCATCTTCTTGCGCACCGAGAACTCGTTGGACGCCACGTCCGGTATCTCCAACAGCATCGCCGACACTAAGTACACGCACTCCAGAAGCTCCAGATTGATGTGTTTGTGGAACGGGATCTGACGCCGCTTTTCCAGCTTCTCCTGCTCTGGCGTTCGCTCGTTCTGTCGCGGAAGGAGTCCTACAAAAACACAACGCATAAAGACATCACTCAAAACAGAACCAAATCACACAATTGATGCCATTATCACATACCCTGAGCCAAGAGCTCTTTGGCGCGACCCTGGATCTGAATGTCGAGCAGAGCGGTGTGCGCGTCGCGAATGGTACCGTGTCACTTCCGCGTGTCTGGGTTGACCTGCTCGCGGGACAACATGTACTAGACGTCTCCTTACAGGCTGAATAACTATAACACGACGTCTATGCTGTACTCGTAGTCTAGGGACCGGAGCTTGGTCAACAGGTGCAAGGCGTGGTGATAGATATGGCAGAGTATGGCCTGCGTTCGGATCCTATCGGTCACGTCCCGGCTGTAGATATATTTGCACAACTGGTTCATTATGTCCATCGATGTCACTAACGGCGCCTCGTCTGCCGTTCCCTTATTCAGCGGCTCTCCCTTCTCGTCCTCGATCACGATCTCAACCTTTTTGAACTCCCCGTTCACGGCTTCGCCATTCGGTTTGCCCGCAGCCGTCTCCTCGGCCTCCCGGAGCCGCGCCTTCTTCTTAAACACGTTGGGATCGAACTTATAGTACAAGTGGTCGATGCGGAGGATGTATATGCGGCACAACTCACTCGCGTTACCCCTTCCGCCGGTCTCCAGATAGCTCTGCAGGCGCTCTATGATAGCGCACACCCGGGTCTCGTCCTTCAGGCGCTCGATATACTCGGGTGAGTGGGCGTCGCAGCCCTGAAGTATTTTCGTGAACTCCTCGTCCATGCGCTCGATGAGCGTCAACACACAGCCGTGCACTCTATAGGGCGCCGACACGTAGATCTCGGACTCCTCGGCGATGTTCTCACCGACCGACACGTCCGGGTTGGCGATGAGTGTGTCAACGCCGCGCTCACACGTCTCCAAACACTTCTCCCACATCTCGTACTTCATACAGGAGTTGATGTTCGCGTTGTAGTCATACAGCGATGAGATTATGCCGAACAATATCTTCACGGCCAGCGCCGGTCCCAACGAGTGCTGTTCCGATATGGACAGCAACTCCGACAGCATATCGATCTGATCCGTGCGGTCGATGCGCTTCTTGCCCCTCATGGACAACACTTCCACCAACTTCTTCACCATCACCTGATGGTTAATCTCGGCGTCTTTGGCGAACATCTTGGGCTTCTCGGAGACGGTGGCGCCGCCCTTAACCTTTTCCCACTCGCCGTCCTCGTCATCGGCCGCTCTCTTACCACTCTTGGGCTCTGTTTCGCGCTTTTTCTGTCGCTTATCCTTAATCTTCTTGTCGTCGCCCTCTTTCTTCAAGAACTTGAGCGCAGGGTATCCCACTCGCCGTCCTCGTCATCGGCCGCTCTCTTACCACTCTTGGGCTCTGTTTCGCGCTTTTTCTGTCGCTTATCCTTAATCTTCTTGTCGTCGCCCTCTTTCTTCAAGAACTTGAGCGCAGGGTTCGCGCCGTACTTCTCGTCATCACTGGACGACGAGCTCTCGTCGCTATCACTGGACGGCCAGTCGCTCTCGTCGTCCGACTCGTCATCCGAGTCTCCCTTCAAGAACTTCGAGGACTTCGACTTCAACTCTTTGGCCGAATCGGCTTTCTTTGCGGGCGCCGCGTCCTCGTCGTCGCCCTCCACCTTAGATCCCTGTCTGGCTCTCGACACAAACCCGATATCACTGTCGGAACCGCTGTCGTCCTCATCGGACTCCTCCTCCTCTTCCTTCTCATCGTCCGACTCCTCGGGATTCTCGCGGAATGCGTTGATATCGGTCTCGAAGTTATATTTGCTGTCTTTTATGTACTTCTTGAATCTCTGCCTCATCGTCGACAACGACTTCGAGTTGTAAAACAAGTCTAAGAACGCCAGGAGGGTTTGGAGCAAGTGCTTCAGGAGGTTGAGATGGTTTGTGAACTACATCTTGAATCCTCACCGCGGCGGGAGGAGGAACAGCTAGTGGGGGGCCCGGAAGAGGAACGCCTCCGCCAGGCTCTCGAAGCCCGTCAACATCTTCGCGATATCCTTGATCTTCTTGTGGTTACGGATCTGTTTGATGATTGTCTGCAGCTCTTCGTAGCGCTTCTCGCGCGCCGTTCGCACCACTCGTTTCGCCTCTTCCTCCTCATCGCTGAACGAATAGGCGCTGCGAACACAAGACAATCACTTATGAGACCAACTGTCTTAAGACACACGCAAATCCATGGCCACAGTAGCCATAGGGTCGGTACGTACGCTGTGGTGGCCGACGGCTTTGCCTGCAAATCCTCCTCCGATTCCGTGGACTCGCTCTCCGAGTCCGACACCTGCGCGAAGAACTTCCCGCTCATAATGACTGAAGATTTCGGTGATATTAATGATAAAAAGACAATCAAATTAGTGGTTAATTATATGAATGTCTCGCAAACACGTGTTCATTACAGTTATGAGACACTGTCTGAGGATTACTGTATGTATGACTCAATAGTCTTACGAGTGTTTGGTTTTAGGTTTTACTTACGTTTATGTTGTGATAAAATTGACGTTTAAATGGATTCACGACTTAATTGTGGTTTAATTGTGTTATTAAAACCAACACTCAATGTGTGAGTGTTTTTGACACGAGTCTACCACAGAAATGGTATTATAGTGCGATTTGTGTGTGGAGTTTATGCATGTGTTTTGTATGCAATATGTCTACAAGTTTTGTGCGGTGTTTGTATTTATAATGTCGGCATTTGTGCTAAGGTTTCGATAGTGAATATTGCCGTAAATGTTTGGAAACTTGTCTACATTACCAAAAAGTTAGTGAACTCTCAACACATTGGCACTGAATTGTGTTACAAACTATTGTATACAGTAAAAACTAATTAAAACTAACTAGGTGCATAATAAATTATAATAAAAAATCTTTCAGTGAACAAGGTACAAGATATAAAAATTATTTAAATAATCAACCCACACTACAACTTATTCAGTTGGTTGCACAATAAAATGTTTAAAATACTTGGTGTACCCAACACCGGGAGTGGACTGTATATCACATATTGAGTCAAATGTTTTGAAAAAGTGATTGAAATTTGATTTTCAAAACATGTTTTGATTTTTGAAAACCATTTCTTTCATACAATCAACACATTTGTGTCCATAAAGTGACCAAAACTGATGGCTAAGTAAGTGACCCACCAATTGATCCCATTATTACCCATACTAACCAATTGAGACCTTTTACTCGATGACCACCGAAGACGTTACTTCGATAACTCATCCAAAATCAAACCGGGAGTCATCAGGTATGCCACCCACAGCTGATCCCGTGGTGGTTAGACATCGACCCGACCTCCGACTTCCACCACCAGTGCTATCAATCATTACAAGCCATCAAACTGTGTGGTAGTCGTCGTAGTCATCGATGTCTAACTCCATTGCCTGTTATCATAAAAAGCTGATCCATTGTAACCACCAATTGATGTCTAAGTAATCCATTGTCTGCTCCAATGTTACAGCGAAGAGCTCCGGGAGGCTGCGGGCATACACCGCGACAAACTGCCCATTTGGATATACCGGATGCGAGTGTTAGGCTACCCGCCCGGGTATCTAAAGCAGGCACAGGTGAGCACAC